AGAGCAGTCTCACCAAGGTTAGGTGTTCCACCAGCTCCTGTCAAAAATAGCATTTGGTCAAGTCCTTATATAAAATATGGTCTCCCACTAGGTTTGCTAGCTACAGCAGGAGCAGTAATGATGTTGAAAAGAAATAAAGCAAATGTTGTAAATAATACTGAAGTAGCTGAAGTTAAACAAACTCCGACACCATCGCCAAAACCAACGCCTTCACACAACAACACCTTCAATGACTCCTGAACCTATGGAATTACAAACTCCTGTTCAAAAGTCAACTCCAAACCGACTCCAACATTTAAACCAGAACCTACACCACAAATAAATCGTAAAACTCCTGCGTTTCCTTACTGAAAAAATAACGTTATTTTTATTTAATATTAAAATTTTTATTTGATTGAAATGACGACTAAAGTCACTGAAGCAATGAAACAAAAGTTTTTGGTAGAATACATTAAATCAGGAACTATTCCAGAAGGTTTTTACATTCATACTATGAAGGATGGTAGAGTTCAGTTTAGAAAGATAAAGCAACCATTAGATAAAGAAGGAATTTTGAGAAAGATTAAACTTCATGAGGACAAATTGCTGAACTTAAGAAGAAGTTAGAAGAGTTGGAGAAAGGAAGAGAGTTATAAAGCAATGAATTCAACAGGGTAGAAATGAGGTGAAAAAAGGGTGATCTCACCACTTCACCTAAATTTATTTTTGTGCTATGTTTTCATACGTGTGAGGGTGGTGATATCATTATTTTTTATTTATTTTTTAAAATTTTTTTATTTTATTTGGATGTAATGACAGAACAAAAGCAACTCATACAAATCAAAACATATAACAAACATACATTTAAACATTTATTCTTCCTTCCTGAGCATAACATGTTCTTTCAAATACATCCGAGACCAGTTGACTTTTCATTGACTGTTTATAAAGATAGAAATAGTTATATCATTAAACCATACGATGACGAAGGTAAGTTATGTAAATTGTACGTTAAGAAGTTAGAGAAAGTTTATGGCTTCAAGTATGACTACAATAGGGTTAACACTGATGATGAAGATATTGAGGAAAATTTATGAGAACATTAGTGAAGTCGTTAGTGAGAACGATAGTGAGAACGTTTATTTTTTACATTAGTGAGTTCGTAGGAAGTGGTTGGCGGCTTTGTAAATATTTAAGGTTAAGTTAGTGTTGTCGTTTGTGTTGTAAAATATACGTTAACGGTTTTGTAAAGTGTCAAATTCACAAGTATTGGGTAAGGTGGAACGCAGTGCCACCATACCCAAGACTTGTATACTAACTAATCTAATACTATTGTGGGATGGTTGTTGATTCCATACAATGCGAATGAGATTTATCAACTCGTATTTTGTAACATTTGAGCGTTTTGTCATAGTAAACTGTATAATGAGCGCCGCATTGACATGATAATTCATGTTTTGCTCTATTATAGTTCATAAATATGAAATTTTGAGATGTGTGGTATAATGCTGTAAAAAACGCTGAATCTTCATTGGCAAAATTAATGGATGTTAAATATGCTTCAATTGCTATAATTTTTTCATGCGAAACTTCAGATGTTGAGTAGTTAGGAACAGAATCGTCATTTTCATTATTTGACAATGCTTTTTTTAGATCTTGAATGGATGGAATTAATGGCCAGTCCATAGGATCACTCAATGGAATTTTGAAATCAATTGGATTTTGAGGTGGAGCATCAATATATTTCAGTACTAAAGACATTTATGAATTAGAAAAGTGACAAATAATAAATCACCATAAATAATATAAATTCAACAATATATATGATGCAATATCTATTATATAAAACATTCTGTGAATTAAAAATTTAATTTTTTTTTCATGAATCATTTGTAAATAATATTTTTGCTACAGTTTTTCAGGAGATATTAAAAAATCATGACGATATTTGTTTGACATTATTGATGTTTCAATGATAAAAATAATAAATGGTGATTAATATTATGTTTCTAAAGAATATAAGAGACAACAGAAATAGAAATATGTTAGAAACTTAAAAATATATGTATACATAATAGCTTATGTTATCATAGCTAAATATTATTTAAACAGAATATGAAGATGTAGAAAAAAGTGTGTATCTGATTTGAATCTAAAAATATAGTGTTTTACTGACAATGAATTGCTTATTATGTTAGCAATAATCAAAAAATCGAGGGACCGGAAAGTGTTTCCACTTTTTGAGAGGAACACTTTCTGTTTGCTTAAAAAGTAGCATTCAAATAAGTTTTCAAGACTTGTCTTCATGTGGAATTATACTGCAAAATCCAATGAATAGAGTCATATAATTCTCAAAGAAAAATAATTTGATATTATATTATGGAATATCGAATTGTAAATAAAAATTAATATACTTTGATATATCAATGCACATTGAGGTGCTTTTCATAGGGGAGATATTGTTTTGAATTATTACAAATCTATCGTAGAGAATCAAAATTGATATTTAGAAAAATTGAAGAATTCAAGCTGAAATAAAGGGCTAACGTGTTAAATCATTTGGTTGATATAAGGGTAAAATGTTTTAATACAATTATAAATAATTGAAGAAAAAACCTATATATTTGATTTTGAAAAAAATTGAGAAAAAATAGAAAATAAAAAATTGAAAAATAGATAGTATATTAATAGATAAATGCAATTATTAAAAAAAAAACAAATTTGAATTTTGATATGGGAATAAAATTATTCTCACAAATTGTAAAGATTTGAGAGCGTTTTGAAAAAAATCGAAATTACCAAAGCTAACTCAATAATTTTAGCGAATTTCAATTTTCACTACTACAAATACTGCCTTATGAACTATTAAAACTTTACCATGCTTTTACCCAGCATAGTGTAAAAATATATCCTTTTATACAAATTGTAAAATTTGAAATATCGAATTTGATAAATTTACCTACAGTATTAAATATTTAATAATTCATTATGCAAATATGGCTTTGGGGTTTCATAAATTTTAGATTAGAATGATTCTAACATACAATGAATTCGAAATTTTATGCCGAATCTTGGCGGATGATGTAGTATTCATTGTAATATAACTCAGAGCAGCAGTAAATCATATATATTGGATAATGTATCATTTGAGAGTCTCTATCAGAGAATAAAAAATTGAAAGTTTTAGTAATTCAAATAAAAATAGTTTACTAATATTTTGTGTATAATGACTATCTTAAAAAGCAAAAAATAAAATATATTTTTTTGAAATAATTTCGGTTTCGAAAAAAAGTTTTGTGTTCGGCAAATGAACTTCAAAACAAGATTTGTTATAGGGAATTCTAACCATTATACTGTGCACTTATGGACTCCAAAATTAATTTTCAAGTATTTGATCGCGCCCGACCCCCAAGGGCCGGTTAATAATTATTATCTAATGATGATTGCTATAAAATCAAATAAAAGTAAATAATTTTTGATTATTGTTTCAAAAAGTTTAGTTTCAAAAGAGAATAATATCAATAACTCTCAACCTTGACCTTAAACGTAGGACTTCAGCAATATTATGCATATGCATTCGGAAAATATGATCGAGCAGAAGATATTATTGAAATAACATATGATATTTGTTAAAATTATGTCAAAAACTATAAGCTATAATAAATTGCATTAAAGCAATTAATTCGTCTAATCTTTTGAATTGATTGGTATAGAATAAAATGAAACAAACTCATATTATTATAGATGATTCAAAATATGCACAAAATATTCAAAAGAATTCTGTATAGTTTCAGAATTTTGCTCTTTATATGTAGTAAAATATATCTTAATGTGCATATATGATTTGTAGAAGTTATTTATCGAGAATGAAATAAATATTGCAAATAACGAAAAACAATGGCGCAGCGTAAGAGCTTATTGGTTAATAAAACAAATAAGATCAACTTTCGATTTTTCGAAATTTATTAGATCTTGGAGGTAAATTACCAAGGTTTTCGACGAAAAACCCATTTTTATGCTGTTGAAGCTACAGTTTCATTTGGCCATACTCTGACCCCTTGACTTTGGGTATTCGTGGAGTTATGGGCCATTAAAAAAAAGGAGGATTACAACCCTCTCAATTTATGAACGTGGAGCCTTAAGTTTTTATATTCAGAATCAAAATCCTCTGTGTACTAATGAATGGTTTTGTATTATATGTGTATCAAAACCATCATTGTAATTTCTTCTTAAAAGAAAAATAAAACTTAAATCTTTTGATCTGTCCATCTAAGCTTTAATTTTCCTTCATGTATAGGTATCATAAAAGAATTAAATAATAATTAACCGCATTAACAAATTATAAATGAAAATTGAAAATCGGAAAATTCATCCTTTGAAAAATGAAAAACGATGCAAATTTTCCGATCGTATTCAATTATAAATAGCTTAAAATCATATATTTTTAATAAGATGGAAACGAGATCTAGTATATTGGATACTATTGGTATATCATTAGAGAATTTCTTAAGAAAAAAGAATTGGAATTGAAATTGAAAATTAATCTAATTATTTTGCATTTAACACATATAATAAAACTAAGTTTTGTATGCTTGGTTAATATATACTATTCCGAAAACATTTAACAAGCATTAAAAAAATTTTCATAAGAATATGCAAGCAAATAGCCATAAGGGACTTGCAAGTATTTTAAAAGTATACAATGACTCTTTGCCAATATGATGCATTCTTGAACGACAACTTCATTCAGGAATATGAAATTACCTTGGAATAGTTTCATGTTTAATGCTCCATATGGCCATTATGCAGACTATCTAGAATTATATCCTATTGAAGATTCAATGATTATGCTCACGAAGGATGAAAAAAACAAAAAATAGCATTTCATACAATTTCCGAAGAGAAGAATTATTTATCAGCATTAAAAGATAAACAAGTTGATAAAGTCAGATCCAACTAAAATTGTTTGTCAGAAAATATGGCACTTTTGTTACTAACAAGATAAAAAAAATTTTCAAATAATGACAAAGAATATTGATTTTGGAATCCGCAAAGAGCTAACAATACCAACCGCGGCTTTCAGAGTCAATTACGTAGCGAGTATAGGTCAGAATAAGTATTTGTTAACTTCAAATAAGTCAATTTCAATATATGAAGGCGATAATTGCGTCATTTCATTACCAATCAAAACACAAATAGCACTATACATCGAAAAATATGATGCGTTAATATATGTTCCAAAAGAAAAGAACAGATTCATTGTTCATTTTGTCAATAATATAAAAGACCCTGTTTATGAAGGGCCTGAAATAGATCATTTAGGGATAAATCATTTAGTTTACTCTCCCAAGTCCGAAACAATCATTTCTTTTGGCATAGGCGTCAGAACTTGGTATTTTAAATGTCCAATAGCATATAATCGACGTATGAATCAAAAAATAGACATTCAATTCACACCGCGAGCATCATTTTTTGACGATAGCATGAATAAAGACCTTTATCCTCCTTCATTTGATCCATTGACTGAACAAATTCTATTTAATACTCGACAAGAACTATTTATTTACAACTTAGATGGAAAACTTATTGATTGTCCCGTTACTTACAAGACAGAAAACTTCACGATGTTCAAAATCAATCCATTTAATTCGAATTTCATTACATGTGACTTAGAACAAGGTCTTATATCATGGTCTAAGTTAGGTACAGTTATAAATCATTATCCGTTCAACGTCAAAAAAGTCTTTACGATGTTTTTTGCAAATGATGAGTTTGCCTTAATTATAGACTCGAATTACAAGGTAGATATCATTGATTTAAACACTCAGGATATATTTGCCGGTATTCAACTTGAAGAAAAACCACAAAGATTCTATTTTCTCCAATCTGAAATTCCAATTTTTGTTTCAATTGGCACAAAAACGTATTTCTACAAGGTATCAACATTCTGGAAGCAATGGACATCACTTACAACAACAGTTCTCAAGATGACTCGTTGTCCATCCACAGAAAAATCCGCGAGATTGTTGTTTTTGCTCTCAAATTCAACTTTCGCGTTTCTAAGTCCGAAATCATCAAATAAAGTTGGGGTCTGCCTCTCACAGAACACCTCTTTTCCACTGGATTTCTATGTACAAAGAAGTGACATGAAAAACAAAGATAGAGATCTCCTCAAATTGATACAAAATGATGGAACTTTTGAAATATTTCAGATGAACGATATCCCCTTCAATTCTATCAAAAGTTTGAAATTGAATGCAACCACTTTTTGCCATACAAAATTGAGAGAAAAGGAAATTTTGATTGTTGGCACAACATTTGGAAAAATTTTGATTTTGGAAGATAATGATGAATTGAATGAATTACAAAAAGTGACAACCGTTCAAGAACCACCACTCAAAATTTTAGTTCACGAGAAAACAATGTCTCTGTTTGTCTGTTATTTGAGATCAATAATGGTTTACAATCTCTCAAATTTAACCTTAAAATATCAAATCAAGCAAGGTCATTGTGAAATGAGAGAAATTTTCTGGGATTATCTGATAAATGGCCATGATGATGGAAGAATTGAAATTTTCACAATACAAGATGATAAAATTGTAACTGCTTTTGAAGAAAACCGTCCAATTCATGATGGAAAAATAACCGTTTTGACAAAAGGTTCTGAATTCTTTTTGACAGCAGCGGTTAACGGTTCTGTCATTGTTTGGACAAAGAACTTAGAAATATTAGCTGAATTAAAGTTCCCTCTTCAGATATATTCGAGTTGTTTCTTGAATGGAACAAGATCAATTTTATTTGGTCTGGAAAAAAGTGTCATGATTTTAGATGGCTCGATAATTTTCGACAAAGAAGTTGATGAGGAAGATTTCATTTGGGATAACTTCGATAGAAGAATTGATCAGTTCGAATTGAACACTTATCAGTTCACAAAGAAAAATGAAATTTCTTCTTCGCCATCACTTCATCTTTCAGAGAAAAAAGTCGAAGAAGAAGAGAAAGAATTTGATTTTGTTAGAAGAAAGAGAAGAAACTCGAAACTAATCATTAAATGCTTGAGCGTCACTGCTTTCGATAAAGTCGAAATAACTCCGGATCCCACAAAAACTGAAGAAGAAAAAGAAGATCAAAAACTGACAGAAGACGATAAAAATAAACTTCTTCAAGATATGATAAATATTGATAACAACGAAAAGAAAGTTGTTCAAAAAATTGAACCTCCAAAACCTCAAATAATCGAGAAACATGAAGAGGAAGAAGATGATTACATAGAAGAATACGAAGAAGATGTTTACGAACAACCAAAAATTGTTTTGGAAGAAAAAAGTGAAGTGATCGTTGAAGAAAAAAGTGACAAAAATGAAGAAGAAGAAATTGATGAAAACATTAATTTGTTTGATGACGAAGAAGAGGAAGCAATTGTTAAGCAAAAGAAAGAAAAGAAGAATATTAATTACGAATTACCAAAGATGATAAAAGTTGAAGAAGAAAAGAAAATTGAAAAAGAAATTGACGAAGAAAAAGTCTTCAAGAAAACAAAAGAAAATGCTAAAAAGGCTAAAAATACAATAGTTCAAACGCCGGTTAAATCACCGTCACAACCGAAACCGCCAAAACCGCCGAAAGAACCGAAAGTTATGGTAATTGATTCTCCTTTGTTTAAAGAAAAGAACCAGAAGAATAAATCAAAATTGGACACTAAAAAGAAATCAAAAAGTAAAGTTCAAAAAACTCATGAAAATAAAATTGAAGAAAGTGAAGTGAAGTTAAATAAAAGTGACAATAAAAAGATAAATTCTGACAATGAAATTAACAAAGAAAATGAAGAAAATAACAAGATTGAAGAAGAAGTTTTTGAAGAAGAAAAAGTTAATGAAAATTCTGAAAATGAAAAAGAGAAAATTGAAGAAAACTCTGAAGAAATTTCTTCTAAAATTGAAGAAAATTCTAATGAAAATTCTCATCAAAAAAATTTAGAAAAAATTGACCAAAGCTCTGAAGAAAAAGTTGATGAAAAAATCGAAAAAGAAAATGAACAAAAAGAACAGAAACAAAATCAACAAAATCAATTAAAAGATAAAAAGAAAAGTAAATCAAATGAAGTCAAAAATGAAACAAAAATTTCAAGTAAAAAATCTCAAAAAACAGAAGAGAAAAGTCAGAAAAATCCAAATGAAAACAAAAATCAAAAACTTCAAGAAGAGAAAACTAAACCAAATGAAAGTAAAATTTCACCAAATAAAAGTAAAGACAAAATTTCTTTGTTGGGATCAAAACCAATGATAAAACAGCCAAATTTTCCGAATAAAAACAAAATTAAACCAACAGAGATAAGAAACAGAAGAAATTCAATGGATTCGGAATCACAACATTCTCAAAAAGAAAATTCTCCTTCTCTTTTGGTTTCTGAAGAAAAAATTCCTGAAATTAAAGAAAATCAAAATGAAATTCAGACTTTTGTGGAACAAAAAGAAGAAAATGTTAATCAAAGCATAGAAACAAATAATGTAAATGATGAAATTCCTCAAAATGAAGAAAAAATCAGTGAAATTTCTAAAATTTCATCAGATATCCAAGAAAATTCAGAAAATTCTACTGAAAAAGTAGAAAATAATGAAGAATTAAACCAAAACATCCAAGAAAATCAACAAATTCCCACAAAATCTGATGAATTAAACCAAAATGAAACGAAAATTTCCAAAAATGAAGAAGAAGAACAAAACAAAGAGAAAGATTATCATAAAACCAAAAGAACAAATTCTCCTCTTGGAAATCTTCAACCAAAAACAATTCTTCCAAGTCAACATTTGTATGGATCAAAAAGACAACAAATTCAAGTTCAATCTCCACCAGAACCAAAACATTCAAATTCTCCGCGAATTAACTATGTCATTATGGATTTAGGTGGATTTGGAATATCGCAAGCGAAGTCTACTCATGATTTAGTTCCAAAAGACATGATTCTTCCTAAAATAAGATTTGGAAAGAAAACATTTGATTATTACGATTCTCCACTTGTTTCTCCTCCAGTTCGAAGACCTCCTTTGATTGTTGGACAGAGAAACTCTTTCCAAAGAAAAATTCTGTCTCCAAGGCCAATCAAACAGCAGAATGTTCGAAATCAGATGATTTATCATCATAACAAACCTTTGTAATTTTTTATATACCATGTTTTTTTATTATTATTATTTATATTCTTACTAAATTGTTTGTTTTTTTTTTTAATTTTAGTAATATGTATTTATTTACACAAAGAATATGAAAGCGACTACATGGCTCTGCTAACTCGTTCTTGATCAATCTATGTTAAATATATATATAATATTATTCTAACAATTTGAATGATAGATTTGCTCCTTTAACATATATCCGCATTGCATCAAATTGATTTTATATTGGCAAGCCATGAAAAATTGTTCTTTATCATATTTTATGCAATGAATTCTTTATTTCTATATTATTGAAAGTAGTTGGCTGTAAGAGCACCACATTAATAGAATTTTGGAACACTGTTGGATATGAATATTTAATATTTAATCCTCTAGATTATTAATTTAAAAAATTTCAAATATCAATTTTTGTTTTACTTTTGTCAATTTAAGGATGTCAATTCGGGAAATTGTTTTCATTTTAGGAGAATATAATTTTCCTTTTCGAAAATTTAAAAAGTGAGACGCGCAGGATTCGAACTTTTTTAAAAGTTGATTTAAATATATTCTAGTGTGGATTCTAAGGATAATATCATATTTAAAATAAGAATATACTAGTTTAGGTGGTATAATTTTTTCGATAAATTTGAGAGCATGTACGTTTAGGGCATCAAAAGTGTCAATTCGCTCAGCGAAAGCTGAGCTAGCTTCGTTCTCGAAAGAATAGGGAAGGAGTGAAAGAGAGTGATACAGATGTTGACACATTCATATCATTTCAACAAATTTTGATCAAATTGAAATTCAATGAAATTCAATTCACTTCATATCCTTCAGTCAGTACATTGACATCCTTCTACATCACAATGATAACTCGTGCATCAATAGTTCTACAACTAACTCAGAAAAAACAAGATTTTTCCTTCCAGCTTACAGCTTTTCAAAAGTTTCGATGATAAAAATCACTTTACTCTTGTTTATCGATATGTTGTGATAGTAGGTAAACGTATTCTTATCGATATTAATAAAAATATTTTTACGAAAATCTGAACCAATTACAGAGTTATTCATAAAGTTTATGATAACTGTAATTACTTCATCTTTGTTTTATATTTGAATAAACAATTTAATTTAATTTGCATAATTTTTTTTAGTTGAAAGACAGGAAACTTAGTTGAGTTTGTATTATTTTTATCGTTTAATTCATTGTATATGTGAGTGATCCAGATATTAAAGATATTTAGAAAAAATTTATTAATTTGATTAACAAATTTTAATCAAAATAGCAAAAATCTATTTGATAGCTGTAAGCAAATAATAATTTCTATTTTAACCAAAATCACTTATTTTTATCTAAACGTATAAAAGGAAGTTGCATTACCTGAGGAGATAGAGCATATGATCGCCAAAGGAATTCCAAACTTTCCGCACATTACAGCTTTATGCGGATGCTCAATGACAGGCAAATCTGTCCCACCTCTCTTTGTTCTCCCATGTATTGCAGAACTACCTAGAGAACTGAAAGTATTCCAGCGCGAAAGACATTGTTGGTTTACTTCTACGCCAAAAGGCTGGGTGAACAGAAGTGTATTCTTATTGTATTGCATTTTCTTCATCGAGTGGCTTAACTTTGAACGCCAGAGAATGCCAGAAGATATACGTGACAAGCCTGCTCTCATTGTGTGTGATGGACACTCCAGCCGCGAGAATCCTCTGGCATTGTTCCTTTTGGCAAGTGCCAACATCAAATTAATTGTTCTTCCCGCACATACAACACACATTTTACAAGTATTTGATGTTGGCATTGCCAAAAGATTAAAGTCCAAATTCACGGATTATCTGAGAGATTACATTAAGGCACCGAAGCAAGAGTTCAACAGCAATGCTGCAATGATGCGCTACGCCATTATCTACTCATTTATTAGCGCATGGCAAGAATCAGTATCATTAAGAACGGTTCAAAATGCTGCCGCCGCCTGCGGTCTTTGCCCTTGTTCTGTAGAAGCTCTCAAACATAATAAGTATGTTCGTGAATTGACTCCTGCAGAAAAAGAATTGCAAGAGAAAAGAAATTACCGTAATCGAAATCGTTTTAACATCAATGGTGAAGAATTGACGACGATGGACATGATTTGCGCAATTTCTGACAATATTAAGAAGAATCCTGCAAATCACAGATTTTGCAGGAAGCCAGAACAAGACACCAAGGAACGTTTCTACTTTTGGATTACAAACTATCTTGATCCCAGCACTGAGTTGTTGACAAAACTCCCTAATATGCCAGGTTATAGTCCAAATGATTAGGAAAATTTTCCAATTTTCCAACAAAAATTTTCCAATTCTCCACCAAAAATTTTTTAATAAAATATTATTTTACGGCATTGCCCGTCACTTTTTCAGTACAAGGCTAATATCACGGTATAACCCCCCTGAAAAGACTTTAAAATTGTCAATTTTATGAGAATAAATTTAAAATCTTATGAAATATAAAGGAGAGTAATATTTTTCAATTTTCTTTTTTTCTTTCTCTCAAATATTTTCTATTGGGAATTTTCTTGTTATCAAAAAATAATTTTAATATTTGTTTATTTCATTACATACAATAAAATTTTAAAAACTCTATTTCTTCACAAGAAAATTTTTTTCCTTCATATGAAGAAACATTTTGTTCTCCATTTGATGCTGAGTCTAAATCTCGATTTTTGAATTTTCTTCTTTCCAAATTTCTTTTTTTCCAAATTAGAAGTTTAATTCAAATTTTCAATAGTTTATATATTTTCTCAAACCGTCTTAGATTTTCTCACTTTTTAGGGATTTTCTCTCAAAATATACAAAAATAGTAATACCAATACATATGTCTAATATACTTTAAAACCATCGTGATAAAATTCAAAAACGAAGAGTTCTTCTCTCCAAATTTTTTTCAAAATCAAAAAAATGAGATAAAAAATACGTTTGGAAAATTCATTTTTAGCATTTTAGGAATTTTCTCACTTTTCTTCCAAATTGACATCCTTAGTCAATTATAATATTTAATGATGTGTATAAATTTGTATCCTCCTATAAAGTCGCAAACAATGTGGGGTGATATTTTGACCATTTATTGTGTATCGTCATTTTTAATTGAATTTTTTATCATCCCAAAATTCTATATTGTTTATCACCTTGAATTTGGACTAGTTTTTATTAACGCAAGTTAAAAAGAACTACATAATGTCGTTACTCTTTCATTATATTGTATGATAATTACATTGTTTTTGTGTCTTTATCGTAACTTCGCAATTTTTTTATTTCAAATTTTCAAATATGTCAAATTTTGTATTATATTTTCTGAATTACCTGATTACTCTTTGATTTTTGGATGGATAAAGGAAGACAAAATCTTCAATAGTCTATTGTTCAAACATGCATAAGTCATGCTTATTAATAAATGACGTTATCTTATTGTTAAACAAACCAAAATAGTTAAGGGTCCACTGTAAAAATTGAAAGTCTCTCAAAATTGAGAGGCGATTTGCAAATAATCGTTATCGTCTTTTTTTCGAAAATCCACTTTTCCTAGTGTTCTGATTAATATTTTGTGAATGTAACAATGAAGTATATGTTTTAATAAGATGATAATATATTCTATCACTTCAAATCACATAAAAATTGCAAAATCAGCGAGTTTTATAAGAACATGATTTTTTCCTATTTTTTTGAGTAGGTGACAAAAGTGCATACTCTTAAATTAACCTTAAATGTTGATTTTTCGATATTTTCGGTATTAACCTTATTGTAAATTTTTCCGGTGATAAATTTATCACACTGAGGTTATTTTTCCGGTGAGATTTTTAACCTTGATTTAATGAAATTAATATATATAAATTTTATTATTTTTAATTTCGAATGAGTATAATAAAATATTTTTTATGTGTTTTTGTTTTTGATGTGATTTGAATTTTGTTAACTCTTTTCAAAATCACTTCATTTTTATGATTTCGGTGGACTTAGAGGAGCTTATTGCTTTTGGTATTAAACAGGAAGTCAAGGGCGGTGTCCCATACAGAAGAAGAACGGGATCTTCTGAATACTACTACTATAAAATATAATTGCTTATCTATGTATATTATCCCTGCATGATATCAAGACTTGGCTATAAGTCTTTATCCATTTTTGAAAATTGTATTGTAAATTGTAAGAATTTCTGAATACTACTACTATAAAATATAATTGCTTATCTATGTATATTATCCCTGCATGATATCAAGACTTGGCTATAAGTCTTTATCCATTTTTGAAAATTGTATTGTAAATTGTAAGAATTTCTGAATACTACTACTATAAAATATAATTGCTTATCTATGTATATTATCCCTGCATGATATCAAGACTTGGCTATAAGTCTTTATCCATTTTTGAAAATTGTATTGTAAATTGTAAGAATTTCTGAATACTACTACTATAAAATATAATTGCTTATCAATGTATATTCTCCCTGCATGATATCAAGACTTGGCTATAAGTCTCTATTCATTATGAGTATGACCCCATTTTTTTTACAAAAAGTGCCGAATTGCAACTTTGTCCCAATCTCCTATTTTTTTGCTTCTGGATGCGTGTTTTGAAAAATAGATATTTTCGAGTTTTGATTTTATTATAAGTATGAATTTTATATTAGGAATTTTTTGACCCATTTCCAATCATTAGTTCCTAAGTTTTTCTAGGAATTAAATTGAGAAGAAATTAGGAAATTCGCTTTAATGCCATTACATACTAATATTGTGATGCATGTAGTTTATATTTAAAGAGGCTAATGTCGGAATATCGTGCATTTTATAAAAAATTCAAAGAATTGACAATTGGATAGCACAAATTTAATTCTCCAGACAAAGTATTATTGCTTATATATTCAAAACATTATCCTTAGTTTTGAAATGTTGGCAAAAATTTTTCGTGTTATTTTTTGTGTTTCAGCATAAATTATGTATTTACTTATGAAAGATAAGCATTTTATTCATTATCATAAA